AAGGTGGCAGATGTCCAGCCCCTTGCCCACTCCAGGGGCCCGCCCAGACCCTTGGGCACTTCCTGAGCAGCAGGACACATCCTGCCCTTTGTGCCCATGAAAGGAGGCAGCTTATCAGAGGGGAAAGGACACTCTGTTCAGGCCTGGCCATCTGCCTGGGCTGGAAGAGCCATGTCTAGGAGCTGGTAAGCAGAGCAGACCTGGGTGGAAGGGCCTGGGGACAGCAGACGATTGAGGCTCCGTGCCCCAGGCCAGGCCAGGACCCCAGCCTCTCTCAGGATCCACTCAGCCCCGGCACTCCTTTCCACCATCCTATCTTCTCTCCATTCCCTTCCTACTTCTCTGACTCCTAGTAGAGTCTTTCACTCGCTCCATTCATTCAAGCACTATTTAAGGAATATTTTATGTTTGATTTTTGTTTGAGACAGGGTCTTGGTATGTTGCCTAGGCTGGTCTTGCTCAAGTGATCCTCTGGCCTCAGCCTCCCAAATAGCTGGGACTACATGTGCGAGCTACCATGCCTGGCTCTGTTTAAGGAATACTTTATATATGCTAGGCAGCTGGGCTCACAGCAGCAAACAAAACAGGCAACAATGCCCGCCTTCATGAAACTTACGTTTCAGTTAAATATATAATATGTTAGATGATGAAAGTGATCTCAGGAAAGATAAAGCAGGGCAAAATAGGCTGGGCATGGTGGCTCACGCTGTAATCCCAGCACTTTGGGGGGCGAAGGGGGGCAGATCACTTGAAGCCAGGAGTTCAAGACCAGTCTGGCTAGCATGGAGACCAACCTGGCCAACATGGCAAAATGCTGTCTCTACTAAAAATACAAAAATTAGCTGTTGAAAAATAGAAAAATCACCTTGTTACCCAGGCTGTTCTCAAATTCCTGGGCTCAAGTGATCCACCCACCTTGGCCTCCCAAACTGCTGGGACTGATTGCAAGTGTGAGCCCTGGCACCCATTGCCTTTTTTTTTTTTAAACATTGTGTGGTTTAGAGATACCCCCTTAGAAAGTGACAGCTGAGCAGAAGCCTCAGGAGGTGAGGTAGTGAATCACATAGACTCCCAAAGGCAACGTCTCCAAGGCAGAGGGAACAGCAAGGGCAAAGGCCCTGAGGCAGGGTAAGCTGGGTGTGGGCAAGGAACAGCAAAGAACCCAGGGTGTGACTGGGTACAGTGGTTCACACCTCTAATTCTAGCATTTTGGGAGGCTGAGGCAGGTGGATCATCTGAGGTTAGGAGTTCGAGACCAGCCTTGCCGATATGGTGAAATCCCAGCTCCACTAAAAATACAAAAATTAGCCAAGCGTGGTGGCATACGCCTGTAGTCCCAGCTATTTGGGAGGCTGAAGCAGGAGAATTGTTTGAACCCAGGAGGTGGAAGCGGAACCCAGGAGCCGAGATCCTGCCACTACACTCCAGCCTGGGCAACAGAGCGAATGAGACTCCATCTCAAAAAAAAAAAAAAAATTTCCAGGGTGGACAGGGCATGTAGAACAAGAAGGAGAGCAAGAGGAGATGGGGTCGTAGACGTAGGAAGAGCCAGATGCCAGGGGCCTTATCAGCCCTTGAAGGACTGGGGCAATGTGGAGTCAGTGCGGGAGTCTGGACAGAGGCCTGATGCTTTAAAATCACGGTAGTTCAGGGACGTAGTGCTTACTATGTGTCAGTCTCTTTCCTAGGCACTGAATATGCATTCAACCACTTAATCCTCCCAATACCTTTATTAAAGATGAGGAAAGCCTGGTGCGGTAACTCATGCCTATAATCCGAGCACTTTGGAAGGCTGATGGGGGCGGATCACCTGAGGTTGGGAGTTAGAGACCAGCCTGACCAACATGGAGAAACCCCATCTCTACTAAAAATACAAAACTACGCGGTGGCTCAAGCCTGTAATCCCAGCACTTTGGGAGGCCGAGA